CACTTTGGTGAGCTGCATACTGGTAACGTGATCGGTCTACAACCGAACAAGTTAGGGGATAAGGAACGAGCTTACCCCAATCTGTAACATTATAATTATCATAGAACTTCACTTCTGCACATTAATTAAGACATCTCTCCACAAACTATCTTAGCTGTTACAGCGCAAGTGTACATTCCCGAATCATATACCAATCATAATACTCGTGCTCGTCACGAATAAACTCTCCTTTATCTTACCTTGGTAGATACACGTGACTATGGAACTAAACTGTGGGGTGTGTAGTGCATAAGTGGGTATTGTGGAACAAACTAGAACTCGATAGAATAGAGATATTGGAGTCAGCGAGAGACTGATGGACTGAGGGAGAACGGGATGGACAATTGCCGCATGAGAGAAATGATATCAAGAGAGAATATTCTAGCATCCGGCTGTGAAAACACAGTCAGTCTGGAGCAACATACAAGTAGGTCTCAACCTCCGCTCATTCCCCACGTTTAAGTCTTCTCTGTATAAGAATATAAATACAAGTCATACATATCACGAAAACACACGCGATGGTGATTAACGAGACTTACTATGAGCATAACTTCCCCAAGATTATCTATCGTCCTGGTCCTACATAGCCTAATTCACATAACAATAACTTCGCAGTGGTACTTGCAAGTGAAATCCGGTGCATAAGTGCGCTACTCTTAAATGGAGTCATATGTTCCTCATTTAACTTCTAGTACCGCGTCATAACTAGATATCTGCAGACGCAATTAAAGTCTGCAAAAAAATGCCTTGATGACTCTTATCGATGAGAGTACGGCACTCTCCAGACCCTCAAGAGCACAGAGAAGTTGGGCTGAGCTACTTTAAAGCAATCACATTCTACCAAGATTCTTCCAAAAATTCAACTTGATCTGCGAAGAATATCGAAAAGGAGGCTAGAATGGCAGAGAGTGGCTTTTCTTAGGTACATACAAGTCTACAGTAGTCAACTAGCTGGCATCTTCAAATGTTTCATTGAGGTAGCCGTGTCTCCAAATTTAGTATTAATTTCGATATTAGAAGAGCCCAGAACTCAGTTATATGTACGAGTTTCCCTGGCTGTCATACAACCTCGAACAGCTATCGTTTCGTTGGCTGGAGAGGGGAGATAATGAAGGGCAAAGGGTTCCTCTAAGCTTACGATCGAACGAGAAATTGTGAGGATTGGTACGGTTTGAAGGGAGTTGAATGGGAGGCATGGGGGTATTTAATAATAGCATAGGTATCCATGGCCTATAGGAATGGAGGATCCAGATGTCGTATATTGTTATACACCGAGAACGGGGAATACTCTCAACACCTGTCAGTGGTGTCCCTTACGAACCTCCAGCTCTCACTTAAGAGTCTGCAGAGCAAAGATCGAGTGACAAAGTCCTCACTTCGATGTTGATTTCCAATCGCTTTCGCCATCTGTATCATCTCTCAACACATTCCCCTATCACCATTATCATGAAGCTTACCACCATCAGATTAGACAGCACCCGATACGGCGATGGTGGATTGCATCAAGTCGGCCTCAATTAATACAAAGAAGGGAGATTTAGATGCATATGTGCACCTCATGTGGTCCCAGTGTCTAGGCCTCGCCTGGCTGGGGTTGCAGGTTTTTTGAGACTTTTTCCCGCGTACGCAGTTTCCATTACTGCCATTTTAATTTTTTTGGGTAGAAGGTTCCGTGGAAAACATGGCCGAATTCTACGGGTAAATACTGAGCCGAATGGCTATTCATCACGGGCAATATATTGATGATTATTTAATTGTAAGGGCCAAAAATCACCGTGCAAGGCGTGACCTGGGTTAGAGAGGAGCCTAATATGCTAGACAGTCATGGACTCAAGTCGTACAACGAACATACATCTCTCTCTCTCTACCCTACATCTAACATTGTGTCATGCCTAGATAGCCGCACATACCATCAAAATACAATGCAAAAAAATCAGTTCTGCGCCATGATGCGGAGGATATCCTCTGAATTTGAGGATGGAATCAATTTCTCGCGGCCTAGTTCCACCCGAATTTCACAGAGATGTTGGCGGCTGAGCCGACGATGAAGATATCCAACCTGAGCGGATCTGAGTTGCTAGAACTACCAGCTTTTACAACGTGGAGAGCTCCCCTTTACTGTTGGACAACGCGGGCACACGCCAGGCGCAAATACGGCAGATTGAGTTTTTGTAAATTTGCAGGCCAGGCAGTCGGGAACCTCGACATTCTAGGACTTTGAATACGTGTGGGGCCAGGCTGGGTTATGTCGACAGCTGTGAAATACTCAAGCCTCGCCCGACTTCACACTCAACATATATGGCGTGGCGCACCAAACACGACTGTCCGGAGAAACTTGGCCCTAGACACCATCTCTCCTGCCGCGAAGCTTCGGAATATTAGGTTGTCCGGTCCAGCTCTATTGCTGCCCTACGCTCCAGCGAAGAAGCCCTATTGGCGCTATTAAACAGCAGTTTCTACGAGTTCTCATGTATCATGTTTTACAAAACCTACAGAGTCTACTAAATCGACCTTTATAGCCTCATGTCGCGCCAACTAAGACTCTAGCCTCATTCGGAATATCTGCCTCGGATGGTCTGGATACGCGCTAGATGAATCCAGTCATGGCGCAGGGATAAAGGGAGGCATGAGAGGCTAATTCGGCGGTTGAATCTTCCATTTGTGGAGTATCACTTGCCCTTGGAGAGCGTGTGCGCATCAGTGACGTGTGTCAGGAACGATTCTGTGCAGCGGGAAAGGACGCGGACGCTGAGAGGACTGTAGCTGAACGGCTAGGGCAGTTGAAAGATTTCCGTGTCCTTTTGCTGTGAGTGTTCCTAACGGCACCGGCATCATCGATCGCTCCCTACAACGCATTATACTTCTACACCCATTCTCGTCGGGCAGGGACAAGTCCTGGCCGCCTTGTACCCTTGCAATGTTGGCAAAGCTGAAACAAAATCCTCATCATCGTGCATGAGACAAAGGGCTAGAGGGCACGGTTGAAGGCCGTTTGCACCGAGCTCCCAAGTGGATTCCGTGCTGGCTTGGGACCGAGCCCATTCGTAATGGGAGAATGCTGCTCGGAGCCCAGCAGGGCCGGACCAAATTTCATGCAACTTCAGTGTTGGAAAGGGGATGATTCGGACATGCAGCGCTGGCTAAACGTTGTCAGGCTGTCCCGTCGGCGCGCATCCACGGGCAATAGAGCTAGGGTCCTGCCCTGAGCTGCAAAAGGGCTACCATCGGGTGTAGTCCAACACTGGATGACACCGGTCTCAGAGGATTCGTCTTCTACCATCGGTTCTGTCATAGGAGTCAGGCGATGAACCCCTGCATTGTCCAGCTTTAACCAATCCCATAATCCTCCACCTCACTTCAAAGACACTCATCCCTCTGCCACGCGAAAAGCAACCACACCACGCTAGGGACACCCATAGCACCAAGGGACCATCAGCTGGTCATCTTCTCAGCCTCCGACGAACCTGAGTCTTGGACACATCGGGAGTCGCCTTGCTTGACCTGGATGAGCCAGGTCAAGGTCCGTATCACTTCCGGCTGACCCTGAAAATAGGCGACGCTTTCTCTTATCGTCTCCGCCATGTCACTACAAGCAGGGCTATCCTGCGACCAACCCCGGCCCGAGTTGTTGCAATCATGTCTCCTGAAAAATGGGTGCTCTCTTAAAAATCCCAAAAAATAGTGAATCATTTAGACGTCGTCCTTTCCCATCCTAAAATCTGCTTGAAATAAACGGTCCCCGCTACACCCTCATCTTGACGCCTTTGCCCACTTTCCTGCGGGCTTGATCAGTATTACAGGTTGATCGCCAGACGGGATGTAAGAGCCATAGCACATAGTTTAAACAACCTTTGTACTTTGAAGTGTTAGTCTCGTCGGGACTGAACTTTCTGAGCCGACGAACCACGCAGACAACATCATAAAATGCAATGGGCTTTTCGAAAAATAGGAACTTATTCAAGTCAAGGCAGACTAGAGTCCTTCAGTAACGGCAACAAAGCTTGTTGCCTTTGGCCACTCTCTGATTGTTCTTTTACCTTAACCTGCCCACCGTAGTCACTAATGTCTTCATTCTTTTATTGCTTGTAACCATAGCCTTAAGTTGGGTCTACATTCTGTCAACTCAACACAGCTTTGTAAAAATAATCAGCTACGCGCATTTAGGTTTGGCTGTTCAATCTGTATTTATTGTCGAGCTACTGTGAATTATTATCTAAATATAGCTCTATTTTTAGGCTCCTATCTGCTCTAGATAGTCCTAAGCCACCTGTTGAGGGCTGAAATGTTTGCCTGACTAGATCATCTTGCTTTCAGGTACAGCGAGTTTATTTTGTCGCTTGCACTGTTGGTTTGTATCTACTATTAATATTATTTGGTTGAGGTGTGTGCCAACCAGTCTCACGTAAAATAATCAACACCTCATATTGTCTACGCTTTTGACTTTGGCCAAAATGTGTAAAAGTTCTCGCCCAAGACTTTTTTGGGCACTTCCAATTTCTCATAGTTTTGCCTTGATTGCTGGACGGCTAGATAACGAGCTTAGTCCCCTATCATTAGCAGTGGATGGAATACCAGTCTCTTGACTAGGATGATACATATGATGCCGGATCCATGCGTCTAGTTGATGGTTATTGGCACTGCGAATAGAGGGCTCTCGATCAAGGCCTTGTCGCTGAGCTTCGCGTATTACTTCGCGGGCCACGATAATGCTAACCTCACGAATGCGGTTGATTTCAGGATAAAGTCTTCCCGCTGATCGCTCTTGGGCATTAATTGATGAGCTGAGCGCAACGGCGGAAGCGTAAATCTGTATTGCATCAGTTTCGGGAACCTCTAATTTGGGAGAAGATTCAATAATACCATGCTTTGGCTTATGTGAACTGCTTTACAAAGAATTGCACCGAGACCTATTCCAGGGAAAACGTACATGTTACTGCAAGAGTTAACATTTAAGACCCAAGTTATACTACAGGTGATACTGACTTTCCCTGACTAGGGTAGATTAGCTTGCCATCATGCATGACCGGTAGAAAAGGGCTTCCGCTTGCAAATATCGCTTTTCCATTGGTCCATTTGGTGGCTTCCTCAAAGGTGCATTCGGAATTGTCAGACGGATTTGATAATGGCATGATGATGGGGTTTGCATTCAGAGCGGCCATTTTCCTAATAATTTGTTCATTGAAAGCGCCACGAGTAGTCGAAAGTCCCATGAGAATAGATGGTTTGACATATTCTACAACCTCAGCAAGTGTCTTGAATTGCTGACCCTGGTTATCATCTCGAGCAAAATATTTTTTATGTGCGGCGAGCCAGTCTCCTCTATCATTAGTTATGAGGCCCTACAAATGATCAATTCTCTGACTCTGGTTTGAAGTTAGATTAATTACCTTTGTGTCGACAAACCAGAACTTTCTTCGAGCTTCGTCTTCACTTAAACCCTGTTTTACAAAGTATTCGACAATTTGTTTGGCGACTCCTACCCCAGCGCTACCTGCTCCCATAAAGACGGCACGTTGATCTTTGATAGGAACTGATGTTCTCTTTAGAGCATTGATAATTCCCGCTAAAATGACAGCTCCAGTACCTTGCACATCATCGTTGAAACATGCATACTTCGGCCCAAACTTCTCTAGAGCTGGGAAAGGGTTCTTAAAGTCTTCGAATTGTACTACAATACTAGGTCCGTTAGCCGTGGTGTAGCTGTAGATAGGATCTTTGTAGGAACTAACCCTGGCCACACAGTATTTAGTGCTTCCATTAACTCGTCCATAAATTCCATTTCTTCTTTTTCAGAAATCCTCTTCATCCGAGCGCCCAAGTAGAACTGATCATTTAATAAGGCTGCGTTATTCGTGCCTAGATCTAACATTAGAGGTAAAGTCACATCCGGTCGAATACCAGCACAGCCGGTGTAGAGTGCCAGCTTTCCGACCGGAATACCCATCCCGTTGACGCCAAGGTCACCGAGGCCTAGAATACGAGAACCATCACTGACAACAGTGATTTCAACTTTTGGATGTCGCCAGTTTCGTAAAACATCGATTATAGCGCCACGATCCTTGTACGAGATGTATAGACCTGTTCAAAAGTTAGAGACTAAAGCAGAAATTTTTCATGGCTCAGTTTGGTGGGAACTGATGGCCACAAACTGGAGCGTTTAACCTTCAGCGTGCTGGTAAATCTCAGACCATCTCTTGCATGCCTCTCCAACTACGGGGGTATATACTAAGGGGGTTATAGCCTGGTTATTGGTGTCAACATTTATTTCGATGAAGGATAGACATCCAAACCGAAAAATTGCTGATTAGCAGTCGGTAAAATAAATGACTGTTGGTATTCCTTAAGGTAGTAAGGTAAATATATTTTTCAATGGGAGTCGATTTCGAAGCCAGTTGTCTTAAACCTGCAGTTCGATGAGAAGAAATTTACACAACTTTGGGAATTGCGCCAAATTACATCTTTCAGATTGTAGCATGTGGTCTTCGACATTTGGTGGGAGTAAGCCTCGCGTGCGTAGCTGACTCCTTACTTCAGCGGTCTGCGATGTATCCAAATATCCATTTTGGAGTTAGTCGTGATGTTTCTTTGAGATGATGGTCGCGAGACTCACGAATTGGTAGACTCTGAATCGCGGAGTTGCGTGTTCTGGGAATTTGTTGAAGAAGTCATATTGACTGCAGGAGTAAGGGGGGAGTAGAGTCGGTAATTCTGAATGAGACTGTGAGGAATCCAATAACGAGAATAGGGAAACAATCGTCTTATTGCCGTTGCGGTTCCCATGAAGTTGATAAATAATTATAAGTAGAGCGTCTGTAACCGTTCCCAGCATCTTTTTGGGGTGGGGCGATGATCCATGTTTCCATGTTTCTTCCCCTTTCCGGGGGTTAAAGCCTGAAGATCAATTGTCCCACCCATCTCATCGGGGCAGCACTGGGAACAACCAGATGAACTCTATTCTTAGTCTGTGCAGAGATGTGGGCGGGTAATTGATGATCCGGAAAAGTCGTCGCCAAGTCTAGATTTAGGCTAAGACGTGCGTCAACTGGACACGCTTGAATGTGTTTACTGTGGGATGATGTCCATGACGATACAGACCACTGCAGTCGTTGTAATGCTTTTTCTTTGCAGCGCAGCAACATCAGCGTTCATAGCTATGGCTCTTCGTTCACTCCGGGATCTCCGCAAAGCCCCGACTGTGCACTTTATCGTAGTCTTGTTAGCTATTGAGCCGGCCAGGTCAAAGAGCAATATGGAGCGCATGTGCCTCTTGATCCAGGTAAATAGCAGGGTAGAGGGGGAATCCTTCGTTAACAAGAATTTAAGCCTAATTCCCCTCTCTAACAATGCTCTCCGTCATCATCAGAGCCTATTGTTGGGTGTTGGTAAGCGCTTGCAACTGGCTCCTGCAAAGCTGATTGTTGGGCCCGGTCCACGACGACGGTATCGAGACAAATCGAAATTTACCGAGGTTCCAACCGTCTGCTTTGCAAAGTATTATCTGTTTCACTCTAGCCTCGTGTCTTAATTATATCTAAATTGGATTAATCCAGAGCACCATGTCTTCACTTTTGTTGGAAATGAAAATATCATGCGTTCCTTTTTGTAGGATTTCAACGCATTTAGCAGCGGCTGGGATGCTGAGACTTAGTTCATGTACCACATGAATTGTTGTATTAAGAATGGCCCACTCATTTGCTTGACTTGCGTAGTCCTTTTGATTTGTTGAAGCATGCCTTCTGATGTTTCCCAAAGGCGACTTATTCTCCCACATTCAACAAACTACCTTTCAGTGCTCCTCTCAGTGTATGATCGAATGAAGACTTTTGAGGAGTGGTTGTGTTTTATGGGAGCTGTATAGGAGGCATGGGAGGGGATATACTACTGGTATAGGTATTCTCGGCCTGTAGGCTGAAAGGACCTGCATGTCCTACATAGTCATAGACTCAGATAGGACAATAAAATGAATTAATAATAACAAACTTCCTTTGATTCAATGATCTTAACACACCTAGTTGCTGGATTGGTTATAAAGTATATTATTCATTGTTAACCATGTCTTATCAACTCCAAAACTGACAGATAACAGTATCAAAAGTTGATGAGAAGGGCTTGGCTCACTCGCACATCCGGGAGACTAACACTACTATTTCATCGCGATTTTTATCATTAATTGCATGCTTCTTACTCCCGTCATCATCATCAAATACAGAGAAACTCTCCACAGCCAAATTTATATTAACATGCGTAGCTATAATACGACAAGTGCATCATACACAAAAATTGTACATCTCTTGATTTCAGAGACACTGATAATTTTGAGTGCATTTGCAAAGCTCATTCTGAACTATTTTTTCTTGTGCATTACGCTCTACTCGCGTTCATGAAGAGGTACTTGAGCAAGCCTTGCGAACCAGAAATCTGATGTCCTGAGTAGAGTATTTGATTGTACTATGTAGGCAATATCAATAACAATGGGTTAGGACTCAGACTTTGATAAGGTTTTTGAACATTCCCGTGACTGAACATGACAGAAAACGGTATCTTTGAAGCAAAACCCTTTTGATATAACACAAATAAACCAAGCCTAGTTGTCGGGGCCGAAGCGATAAAAATTGATCAACTTATACACGTTGTGGTTATAAGCAACGTATTAATTGTGGCATTCAACAGAATTTTACACGTATTTACGTTTATTTGTTCATTAACTTGCTAGGTAATTGGCAATCTCCGCACTCGTATGGGAGCTAGAGCACGAGTGGGATTGGGCTGGATCAGGTTAACTAACATATAAGTACAATAAGCCTTGTCCCACCTCAGACTTTACCTATGCACTGAATCATATCAAGCCCGAGCGTCCAGAAACCCGCTGTATATACGCCGCAGCGCAAATCCCTCGTCAGGAGGGCAAGACTGAACACCTGTACGCGGTGTCCTCGACGAACCTGGGAGTGAAATATTCTCCCAGAGCCAAGTTCAGTCAAATTTCGCAATATCAAAGAAGTTGGCCCACGAGGCAGTGATTCAAGTTACTCCGCGTCGTTTTTTCGCTCCCAACGAGTTTGACTTCTACCTAAATCTCATCAAGTCTACAAGTACGACCAAGTGCATCATCATCTCAATGACCACACCTCTCTTCGACCTTCTCTGGTCTTAGTTGACCACCAAATACACGCCCACGCCGATATTTACAGCCGCCGGAGGAAGCAAAGCGTGGCGCACAAATTTGGGAGACTGCTCTTTGGGATGGACGTGAAAGGTATCAGGACAAGTTTACAAGATGATGAAAAGGAAGTTTGTAACCTCGAAGGGAATGAAATTCCGAATTTTGGCAAGAGTTTTACGAATTCAGCTTTGTGCGCGCCAAGACTTCGCTTGCGAGAGTGCAGCTCTTTTTTTTTTTTTTTTTTTTTTTTGAATCATTTAATGTGTATTCAGCTATCTAGCTATGACACATGACCGGTGCTATGTATACATATTGGATGACTCTTTTGACATTAGAGACACTCATACTCTGGATTTCATTTGCAAATACCACTATGAGGTATGTTTGCTTACACAAACAGTCGACCCTCCTCCGTTAGTACCCACCAAAGGGAATTTTAAAACCTTTAGTTATCCAAGCATGCCTTCGTCATCTATGCATACCAGCGCCGCGAGAAAAGTGGTTGTGTTTTGCCGGATTCGAACCAGCGATCTGCTGTCTCAAGTGGGATATGTGTCCAAGCTATCCAGACTCTACTTGGCAGACCGGCCAAGACGATGTACCACCGCACCATCCAACCATGGCAGTTTTTATAGTGTCGCCTGCACTCTCGCAGCCGAAGACTTGGCACGCACAAAGCTCAATTTGTAAAAACTCCTTTCCAAAATTCAAAATTCCACGCACATCGAGACTGTATCCAATCCTCTGCATCATCTTATTAACTTGTCCTGATCCCTCTCACATCCATCCCAAGGAATTGTCTTCCAGATTTGTGCGCCACGCTTTGCTTCCTCCGTCAGGTATAAATATCGGCGTGGGCGTGTATCTGGCGACCAGCTAAGGCCAGAGAAAGTCGATAAGAGGTGTGGTCATTGGGATTAGGATGTACTAGGTCGTACTTGTGAACTTGATGAGGTTTAGGTAGGAATCGATTTCGTTGGGAGTGAAAGATTGACATGGTGGAGTAATTTGAATCATTGCCTCGTCGGCCAACTTGTTCGGTATTGCGAAGTTTGGCTGAACTTGGCTCTGGGAGAATATTTCACTCCCAGGTTCGTAGAGGACACCGCGCACAGGTGTTCAGTCTTGCCCTCCGAGAGTGCAGCTCACACTATTTAATTAATTCATTTTATTGTCCTGTCTGAGTCTATGACTATGTAGGACATGCAGGTCCTCTCTGCCTACAGGCCAAGGATACCTATACCAGTAGTATATCCCCTCCTATGCCTCCCATACAGCTCCCCTCAAACAGTACCACCCCTCACTCGATCATACACTAAGAGGAGCCCTTTTCCCTTCATTATCTCCCCTCTCCAGCCAACGAAACGATGGGCATATGTGGGTGTATGGCAGCCGGGAAAATTCGCAAAAACCACTGGGTGCGGGGCTCTTCTAATACCGACATTAGGAATAAATCCGAAGACATATTGCCCCTTCTGAAGCGTTCGAAGAGGCCGGCCAGCTGGGTGCTGCAGACTTGTGGGTACTCGAGAAATTCACCCTCTGCCTTTCTAGCCTCCTTCCAACTCCTTCCCGAAGGTCGTGCTGAAATGTCAGAAAAGTCTTGACAGAGCGTGATTGCTGTATAGTAGCTTAGCCTAATTTCTTTTGTACCGTCCAGGGCGCTGGGGAATATCGTTGACTCATCGACAAAAGAAGCCCTCCTGGCTAGTTAGCCGAAATCTTGGTCTTGGCGCCCACAAAAAATCCAAAGTTGAATGCTCCTCAAAAATATCAGTCCCAGCATGGTCTTCAGAGACCTCTTTCCCCTCTGGCTCCACATCTCAGTCGCCTGTTCTTCCTCAAGATGTACAACCCCATCAGAGCAGCAGTCCCCCATAAACCAAGACCCCAACTTTGTATTTTTCGACTTGATTTCCTCCTTGCGGGTATAAATAGCGTCGTGAATATGTAGAGAGTGATGGCCGGTAATGAATGAGGCAAGCTCCTGTTTGCAATTGGGGTGACGCCTTTATCGGTCGGCGAGGCGAGTTGATATGTGGTTAGATCGGGGTTGAGGACTCAGAAGATAATGATGAGTGCTGCATGGTTGAGAAGTCGTCAAATGGAGATATACATGTGTTTGCTTTCGACTTCGATTCGGATGCAATTCTTCTTGGCTATCCCAGATATGCAGAGCATACTGAGCGATTACACCGGCACCACTGGAAGGTGAAGAATTCGTCTTTGCCGGCAGCAGCTCACACTATAAAGACAAGCAAACGATGAAAGGTGTTGTGAACCGCCTCCTGGTGGTGTTCTCTGGTATAGTTTGAGTAGCCTGGGCACCTACTCCACTTGGGAAGGAGACACCTCAGTATTATGAATATCATGAATCTGTTCTAGAAGAGTTAGCTCACGGTAGATGCGTTGTGCCCGACACGTCCCATACCTGGGATGACATGCCAATACTCAACAACAAGCAACATGACGGAGTTAAGGAGCCATCGCCAAGGAGTGCCTCGAATCAGAAGTATCATAACATGAGCATTCATCTTTACTCGACTGATATATGGTCAGTGGGTGATGCAACTGAGTCAAGGAGCCACCACTAGGGAACATAGTATCCCCGGGGCTCTGTGTCATGAATATACGTCTAGGATGTAGTGGCACATAATTGATGAGGG